CTTTTTCTTTTTTTTTTTTTTTTTTTTTTTTTACTTTCCTGGATCTGATTATCTTGTCACTTGATTCTCAGTGGCACAGGTGAGTGCACAAAGCCACTTCAATGCAAAAGTCACAGCTTATCTCCTCCGAGTTTTTGTATTTTCCCCAGTTTTTATATTATCTTAGTATATATTTATGTTACATGATGATTATATTCGTTGTGTGGAATTGGTGCATAATACATAAAAGATCTCCATTTTGTTCATTCCCTTTCTCTTCCCTTCTCCTTCCTCCTCTACCTGCTCATTAGTTTCCCATTTAAAAAAGATCTTCCTGCTTTCCACTATCTATCTTTTATTTTGCTCTTTACATTTTAAGTTTTTCATATTAGAGAAACCACATGAAATTTACATTTGCATGTCTGATTTATTTCACTTAATATGGTCTCAAGGTACATAAATTTCCCTATGGACGACTTAAATTTGTCTTTCTTTATGGCAGAGTAGTACTCCATTGTGTATAAATACCACATTTTTAAATCCATTCATCTGTTGATGGGGATATAGCCTTTTCCAAGACTCATCTATTATGAACTGTACTGTTATAAACATAGACATGCACATAGTACTGAGTCATCTGTCACATTACAGAGATGGACACTTGATTGTTCCTTAAGGTGTCAGCCTAGTGAGCACACAGAATTTAAAAAAGGATTTATAATACAATGTGTTAAATGATTATAAAATGGAAATGTGTATGCCCAATTACTTTGATTGCTCTTTTGGGGACATAATATGTAAAAATCAAACCAATACTTTTTTGGGGGTATTTTGAATGTTTAAGACCAGAATGATTGGAAGAGTCTGTGTAGTATGTCAAGAAATACACTGCAGTGTTATTGCTTTAGAAGGGGCCAGATGTTTCCAGATGTCTTTTACAGTACTGATTTGTAACTCCACAATAAGCAGAAGATTATGCTAGCAAAAGCTCATTCATCAAAAGGGGATTACCTAAATGAATCCAACAGATCTGTAAGGGAACAACATTTTTTATGTGCTAGTTAATCCAAGTTCATATGCCACTTTTGTCATTTCCATATGTGGAACCAAAATTTCCTCTTTCACTGTCAGGTTTATGAAGTTAAGGAGGAACCTTGCAATTAAGAAGAAATATGTGTTTATAATTAAGGAAATTGGTATATCGAACACCTTGATCAAATTTCGTGAAACGCTAGACGTTACTGTCAAGAGGGGCTTGCATATCCATACAATGTTAGAAATTGACTAACTTTAAACAAACCTTTACTTGAATGTATGCTAATAAACTCAGTTCCGTTTTACAATCTCCCTAGTGGCACCACAAGCCTTTCAGAACTTTTAATTGTAAAGGCTTACTCTCTGCTGGGGCCACCAAATGCTGCAATTAATGGGGTTTGCTTCATATCCTGATCCCTGCTTTGGCAAGGCTCAGCGTGACCCATCTGTAGGTCTTCTCAGCCTGTCGCTTTTAATTGTATATTTGGTAGAGAAAAGACAATTTGTTTTGCTCTTGCATGGAGAGGTACTTAAAAATACCAAGAGAAAATTGAACACATGAGATACTAAGCTGACCAGATCAAGTCTCATTTGCTTTGATACAAATTCCACCTCTAAACCTCTAAGAAGGAAGACTTTGATTTTCAGGAGCTATTTCTTTGCCTTCTTCTACTTCTGAAAGACTGAAGGAGAAATTTCCTGAGCTGGCACATGACTTGTAATGGTCAGCAGCATCTCATTCCTTCCAGGAAATCTGTGTGAGAAACTGTCATTCTGCTAGGAGACCCTGACCCCTAACCCTGCCATATCACCGTGTTTTGATTTCTACTGCACCAGCTGTTCAATCCAACAAGATTTCTGGTGACTTTTCTGTACCCCCACCCTTCTAGGATCTCAGAACTTTGGTCTTTTTCTCCCTCTCTTTCCCCAGATGGCCTGGTTGCCCGGGTTCATCACTTTAGTCCTTTCACCAGGACCTTCAGTGATTTCACTCACGGATCTTTCTTCCAGACACACCAGGAAGTCTTTTCGAAGACTTGATGTCTAAAACAATCATGTTTAGTTTGTATCAGTCTCTCCCCCTTTTTTGAATATTCCTTTCAGCACTCATATCTTCCAAGCCCCCTTTTTTCAACACTGCTTCCATCTTCAACTGTTGCTCCCTTTATGCTACCATTTATGCTAGAACTCATAAAAGTATCTTAAAACCACTGTCTCCTCTTTTCCACGTAACATTTGCTCCTTCACCAATTCCAGTGTGGCTCTCACCAAGGGCAGTACAGAAATGACACTTATTAAAGTCTCTCAACTGCTTTCATCTGCCAAATCCAATGGTGAATTTTCAGTTTTCAACTCACTGAAATTTTTCCCAGTACTTGATCACCACATCCTTTTGAAATACTTTCCTTACCTTCTGGAACAATGAAAGATTTTTCTCTTCTTCCAGCTCCCCCTTTTTGTAGATCACTGTGTTGTCCAGTGTCCAGTGGCTGGCTGTCTTGTCTGGCTTTCCTCACTGATCCAATTACGTGGTTTCAAGTATTTGTTTATAGTTGAGCAAATATCACTGTCAAGTATTGATCCATATATGAATATAAGAAAACTTGTTAATGATTTTAAAATTTATATGTCCAATCCAGCCTGGATTTGTGGCTAATCACTAACATCATTACCAACTTCAAATGTTTTTATTTGATGCTTTGATGAGATGTTCATTGAAATGTGTAGGAAACATTCTAATTTACATTACCAAAATAAACACTATTGATTTCTCTCTTTTTTTCATTGATCAAATAATTATATACCTCATAAACTCTGCAGTGTCAATAAGTATTTGTTAGCTGAAGAACCAGCCCCTTCTTGGTGTTTCTTAATAATCACATCTTTATTTCTTTCACTAGTTGAGATTATATCAGTCTAGAACTAAAAATGTTAATTCATCTACAGAGGGAAACTGCTTTCTCACCAATTCCTCCCATAGTTTGGACTATACTATCCAGCATTTCAATGTACTGACACCTGTACATATTTTTTAAATCACATAGAAGGTGAATCTTTTGAATAGTGTCTGAAAATAATTCTTCATGAATGGAGTAATTGGAAGCAAAGAAAACTTTAAATAGTTCTGTTTTGTTTCAGTTCTTTACTAAGATTAAATTATCTCCCATAGATACCAATTTCCTCTTTTCTTTTTTGGCCACTATTTCATTGAGAAGCCACTGGTATTTTTCCTATCTTTTTCTTATTAAACAATCCCCTGCTTATTTTATGCTAAGACTTTCTGACAACTGCTTTGGTTTCATGCTGCTGTGTATGATAGACTTTACAGTTTCCATCTCCGGGATCCATATGTAGTAATATTTACTATCTAGATGATTCTTAATTTTTTAAAGTACTGTAATCATTTGTCATGGAAGCATAGAAATTTGACTCTTTTTTTTTTTTTTTTTTTTTTTTTTTTTTTTTTTTTTTTTTTTTTTTTTTTTTTTTTTTTTTTTTTTTTTTTTTTTTTTTTTTTTTTTTTTTTTTTTTTTTTTTTTTTTTTTTTTTTTTTTTTTTTTTTTTTTTTTTTTTTTTTTTTTTTTTTTTTTTTTTTTTTTTTTTTTTTTTTTTTTTTTTTTTTTTTTTTTTTTTTTTTTTTTTTTTTTTTTTTTTTTTTTTTTTTTTTTTTTTTTTTTTTTTTTTTTTTTTTTTTTTTTTTTTTTTTTTTTTTTTTTTTTTTTTTTTTTTTTTTTTTTTTTTTTTTTTTTTTTTTTTTTTTTTTAGTGACTCTTAATGCTCCCACCTCTGTCGAGCTGTTTGCTTTCAGAGTCTTTGGAAAACTTATCATACTTATCTAGTTAGCAAGACATTCTGAAATCTGACTCTTGAAAGTCTGGGATATTTATGTGATTCAGCCCTTTTTGGCTTTTTCTGGACCTCAGGATAACAGAGTCTCCATTCTGTAGCTTATCGAGGCTGACTGGCTCCGAGCCACCTGAGAGACACCTCCCGACCCAGTGTGTCTGTCCTGAAATAATTCATCTCTGTCATGTGTCTCCTTTGTGGCCACCTTAGTCTAAAGCCAATTCACCCGGTCTGTTACAAACAATTCTTTAAAAGATGAAGGGCAGAGCACACTATTAAAAGTAAGAAATAGCTAAGATTTGTAGAATAGCTGTGATACTGTAATAGGATATTTTTTACATAGTGCATATTTGGTAAACTTCACTTTTTTTCCAAATCATCATTTAGTTCTGCTGTTTCTTGTAAAGGGGGTGATTTTTTTTATGTGTCCATTATAAATATTAACTTTCCTTTGTTACAAAGCAAAGACTAAATTTAAAATATTCAAAGCAAAATCAGAAGAATGAAAGAAGGAAAATTTTGTGTTTCTAATAAAAGATAAAGACAGAAAAGCTCTAAATTTGATAGCTGGGGCTGGCGATATAGCTGAATGGCAGAATGCTTGCCTTAGCATGCCCAAAGCCCTGGATTTGATCCCTGTCATAGGAAAAATTAAAATTAAAAATTGTGTAGATAAATTAAGTGAATATATGACAATTTCATGTATAAGTTAGAGTTGAGTGTGACAAATTTGCACACTAAAGGAACAAGGTATTACCTCCAGGAATATTGTACTTAGACTTCTGTATCAATTTCTCAGGATGTCATAGTGCAACTGAGACAAGTAGGTTAGTACTTCTTTTTGGAACCAATGATTGAGGAATTATACTATCTCAATGTTGTCTGCAAAGTATATTCACAAAAAAGCCACAGTATAAACATGAAGCAAATTAGGCCCTAAATGCAAGCATCTGGAAATGAAATATATCTGAAGCTGGAATGAAAGGAGAAAAATGTCTGTTAATGCTTTGTTTAATTGTTTTCATTATGGTTGGTGGATTGTCACTTGGCTGCACTTATGTCTGCTCGATCTCTCTGGATCTGAAGATCTTTGCACAAACTTCTTTAAGAATGTTCTCATTCTTCTTGCTGCTGTTTTTGAGATCTGACAGCTAAGTGGGAAGTAGTCCCCACTTTCCTGAGTATTTTCAGCTATACTTTTCCTCTGTACCTTACCATAATTGACCAGTTTTTACTGGAAGAACCAAATGATCATCGCCTATTCCTATTTATTTCTCCAGTGAGTGCTTTTGAACTGATATTGACCTCGTGTGGCATTTACGTAGTCTGAAACTGTCTTTCCTAATTTTTCTTCCACCTGGAGGCAGGTCTGTTCCTGCCTCACTCTTGATCATTCTTTGTAGCTCATGCTAAAGATACAAACATACCATGCATGGACATCTTCCTTTCGGGGGCCTCTTTCAAACAATAAACTATTGTTTCCCTAGTTTTTTTTCCAGATTTGTTAAAAAATTAAGAGTTTTAATTTCATATCATAGTCCTAACAAAAGAAAAAGGAATAACATCATCACTGATTTTTTTTTAAAAAAGCGTGTGTATTTCATGTGTATTTTTCTCTTTCCTTTTGGTGGGTATTAATGCCATTGGGGCAGTAGCTTATGTAGCAAGAGACTTTTGGATACAAGTTAATAACATTTTGCCGTTTTATGGACATTTAGTTTTTAATGTTGGAATTAAATTAGCCTCAATAAGTAACTAAGTCTAGAATTTTGGCCTTATTTCATTTTGTTACCAGTAATTGAGAATGTTCAGCATTTAGAATATTGCTTGTGAGTTAAACAGAAGAGTGAGTTTTTGTCACAACCAAAGCTTGGTAGCTCTAGTTCAAGGATAAGAAGTTATTAAATAAGCGTCTAATAAATTAATTTGAAATAAATTATTATTTTATTTCCGATGTCTTAAACAATAGAACCTCAAGTGAATATTAAAATTCCTTAAATGGCCACGTGCTCACTATTATAGACAAACCACAGAAAAGAACAGATAAATAAGGGAAAAGGGAAGAAAGAAGAAAGGAAGGGAAGGAGGAAGAGAGAGAGAGAAGGAAAGGAGGAGGAAAGAAAGGGGAAAGCAGAATGACAGAGAAGGAAGAGAGGCGTGCTCTTAGACAGTGCTATGTAATAAAAACCAGTTCTGTAACACTATTGTGGATACCCACAAGATGCTATGTATTATGATTGTTTCTTTCATTATCCACCTTTACTCGGTTTTACAATTTGGATAGGCAGGATTCTTATCTTTCTTGCTTACTATTGTAATCTCCAGAGCAATGCTTGGCTTGGTAGAATTGTTATGCACCTATAACTATTCAACAAATGACATCAGTTTTTCTTTTGATAGCTCTGAAATTGCTTCTTTAAAACAGAAAAAAATATTTGAGTCATTTGTAGGAAATTTGATACATCTTGAGACCATAATACTAAGTGATATAAACCAGACAATAAGATCGAATAGCACATGATTTCTCTTACATGAGAAACCTAGTATATAAATAAAGAGTAAAATGGAAAAAGCACGGAACATCTTCCTGTGTAAAGAGTTTCTTAGTGGAATACGGCTCAAATATTTAACAATACTAAAATTAGTTTGAGTGTCACCACTGGCTGTCCTTCCTAATCCTCTTGAAATCTTAGCCTTTTAGATGTTTGCCATGATAATGACTAAAGGATTGCCAAGGAGGAGAGAGCTCTTTAAAAATACTGATTTCCAAACCTCAGCCCTAGAGCTTCTGTTTCAGTTGATACAGAGTAACCCCCAAAATTTGAATTTTGGTGTTTTGAAAACTCCCTAGATGATTCCATGTTCAACCTGGGTTGAAAAATGATTGTCTAGATTAGCAAATCTATCTACTTTGGTTGCATTAATCAGAAGTTCCCAAGTAGAGATAATGGTAGTATTGTTGGCTCAGCATTCCATAGTATACAGAAATGCCCACATGAAAGCTCTACCCCACCCCAAGACTAAAATCCAAGAAATGTCCACACCTTCAATCCTGGCCCACTCCTGGGCCGGGGGATGTGAAAGGAGGAAGGCATAAAAGAAGAGAAGAAAAATAGATCTTGGTTATATGAGTAGAGTCTGCCATTAACAAACTTTTTAAAATGACTTACACTGAGCTGTCATTAAACAAATCCTTTGTGAGAACCCACTACAGGCTTGGTAATAGACTCTGTGAATTAGAACCACAGTGCTCCTGTTTTCAGAGAACACTCTGAGGGCAAGACCAAGAACAGACAAATGGATGCGTCACTGTCATTTTTATCAAAGAATACTATGAGAAGAAAATTAAAGCAGGGTCCAGAGTAGAAAGCAATGGGAGAGAGTAAGAGTTAAGGTGACTGGGAAAAATAGCTCTGAGGTGGTGATGATTTGGATGAAGAGAAAAAGTAAAGGCGGGAACCATGGGAGGGTTGGGGAAACAGCAAGGAAGAAATCCCTGAGTTGGAGATGCCCTTGGCATGTCCAAAGATAGAAAGTCTTTAAGACTAAAATAAAACTCATCATTTAGGGCTTCAGAGGCCAAGGATAGGGTCTAGAATTTATCTCAAATGTGATATAGGATTCCTGGGGAGCGGAAAGGAATTTGATCCAATTTTATTTTAGAAAGATGACTCTGACTGCTGAAGGAAAATGATTAACAAGGGTTAGAGCTGAGGCCATGACAGTGGTCCCCATAGATTGAAGTGGCTCCGGTTAGGATTGCAGTGGTAGGTCAGGGAGAAACAATAAGATGCAGGATGATTTTGAGAGTGGTAGTGGAAAAGACTCGCTAATGCATGGAGCGTTGGGCATAAGTGAAAAGGAAACTGTGGCTGGTCATTGGTAATTGTAAGTATTAGTGTAAAAGGAATTCTCTATGTTTATATATAGCCATATGCTTAACCCTCAACAAATCTTGGTTATTATCAAACAGACGAGGGAGTGGGTTGAATAGACAAGTGGGCATTCAAGTCTGCATCTCAGGGAAGAGGACAGAGCTGAGAGTCACCAGGGTATGGGCAAAATCATCAAGGGAATTGTGGAATGAGAAGAGTGCCCGGGGTCCCGGGGCACTTCAACACTGACACTGAGTGCTGAGGAAGAGGACCCAGCAAAGAAGACAGAAAGGGGGTTCCTAGGGAGTTGGAAGAAATTCTGTAGTATGGTAAGACCATAAGCCCAGTAAAGAAAGCTTTTTAGGGTGAGAACTGACTAAAATTGGAAGTTGTGGGGACTTTCTTAGAGGTACCTCTTGGTCTTGGCTTTTTCTCCTTCTTTTTTACTTTTCCTCTTTTTCTTGGATTTTCATTCTTTTTTAAATTCAATAGCAAAAATAACTACTTTGCCTCCCTTTAAATGTGGACAGGTTAGTGCTCACTTTGGCAGCACAAATACTAAATGTGAGCAGGTTATATAATCAGGAATGATACCCATTCCTGAGGCGTGGTGTTTTGTTAAGCAGTAGTACTTAGTCAAACACTCAGGCAGTTATATGAATACTTCTTATATGAACTCACAGCAGAGTAGGCTGTGAGTGGAAATAGCAATTGTTTACATAAATAAAATATTTTAAAAGCACATATAAAATTAAACAGATGGAGTTGAAGATGCCATTTGCTCTTGAATTATGTCCTTCAGGAGAGAGAACGCTGCTATGTGGAAAGTGGTGTTTGGCATCAACAACCTGGACCACCCATCTGTGTACATGCAAACGCGCCTCGTGAAGACCATTGTCCTGCACCCCCGCTACAGCCGTGCAGTAGTGGACTACGACATCAGCATAGTCGAGCTGAGTGAAGACATTGATGAGACAAGCTACGTCCGACCCATCTGCTTACCCAGCCCAGGGCAGTCTCTACAACCAGACACGTACTGCTACATCACAGGCTGGGGTCACATGGGCAACAAGAGTAAGCCAGTGTCCTCAGCAGCCTGTGCCTTTCAACTTGTAACTGAGACACACTATTTTTTCCTAACTTTTGGCCATAATTTCCCATTATCATTTATGAAAATAGAGCCCTGAATGGTTATTTTTTGGTGTTACATGTCATACTCACTCTTTCAAGTCAAATGTAGAGATCAATAATCCACCATGGCATTTAAATCTGCCAAACTCAGATGCAACCTTAAATTTTTTTTCCCTCAGACTTCTTGTCCAGGCAGCCACTGCCGATGTTTTGAAGCTGCTGGGCAAAATGAGATCTGTCAGGCTTCCAAGCTTTTGACTGACTCTAACAATGTTTGGGGTTACCTTTAGGGAGAATCTCTCGGAGGCTATATGGAGGAGCTAGGAAAGCCCATTTCTACAGTCAAGTTGTATGGTCTCATTTCCAGTTTGATTGGAGTCAGTCTGAAGCACAACCACAAGTCATTCTAGGAACCAAACTGAGGCTCTGTAGATGAGTTGAACACATGAAACACACTGACATTAAAAATTTGTACTACTCGCTCTCTCTCCCTCCCCAGGAAGTTTTCTGTTTAACTTATTTGAAGTTTAGAATGAGAACTGAGTCAATGAGATATTTCTTTCAATGGAGGGCTGGCTATTTTGAAGGATGTAGACCAACTATAATGCCCTGGCTCTCAAGAATTGTAACGCACCTGTTCTTGGTCTTAGGGACTATCAGTGTGAAGGAATATTTTTTCCTTCAAATTTAATCAGATATCTTCTGAGCTAAATTTTTTAAATATATGATTAACTGTTGATGTAAAGAAAAAGTCAATAGACAAAAATCGTGACTTTTTCAGATGGTCCCATGTAAGAACGTTGAAGGCAATGTTGAACATATGATTATACGATACCATCATTCCTGCACATCTTGTTTTTTTTGTTTTTTTTTGTATCGGGGATTGAACTCAGGACCTTGCACTTGTGAGTCAGGCATGGTGCCACTGAGCTAAATCCCCAGCCCACGTCTTGGGTTTTTTAAAGCTATGATTAGTTCTGTAATGTAAGATCAAAATGTACTTTATGTTTTCTCTTCTTTTCTTCCCACAGTCTCCATGTCAAAGCTAAAGTGATAGTGTAACATAGGGCACATACCACAGGTAGGACATAGCACAAAGAGTAAAAGTCCTAGTTCATTCAGGAAGCTGACTGGCCCCAACAGCATCACTCACAGTTTGCTACAAAATGGATAAAAAAAAAAAAAGCAAAAAATAGCAGCCACTGTCTAACTCATAGAGTCGGTGTAAAGATTAAACACAATAAGGCCCAGATGGTACTGAGTATCAGTGCCTGGCCTACTGCTGTTATCCAAAGAATTTTAGCTATGGCTCTGATTATTATTCTTTGGCAACTATTGACACACTCACTGTCTGCATCTCATTGATTTTTCAAAAACTGATTATTTCTGGCAAGAAAGTACATATATATGTATTGCTTCTCATTTTAAAGAATTGTGTGTCTAATTTTGTAGCACTGGCCACACAACAAAAGATGCATGCTGTTTTGTTTCACAAAGTCCACTGTTTGTCAAAAAGAACTTTCAAGCAAGATGAAGTTTGAATATTCTGTCAACACCAAGGGCTGGTTTTGTCTTTTTCACATCTCTCTATCATATCCTCTAAGGTTAAAGTTTCTTACACCAAATAGTGGCCACTGGAGTGCACAGTCAGATGAAGGCTTTTTACCACATTTGGGGCAAGCACTGCCCCATTAGGCTGAATGGGTCTTCCCTGCTTTTGCAGAGCAGGATTGATGTGCAGAGCTGATACCAGGCTGGCAGCTGCTTGTAGGGAGTGGAGCCTGATGTGGTTTTTCCCTTTTCATTAAAGTAGCTGTTGTTTTTTGCCATAGTACATGAAAAGAAGGAAAACCTTAAGCCAAGTTATCTAACCAGTCTGCACCTCAGTTTCTTCACTAACAAAATAGACATCATGAGATGAATACTATGAATATTTTTAATTAGAAATTTTGATTCCAAACAAACCTTATCTTTAACATGAGATTTCAAGTGAAAATTATGGCTTTCTGGGTATAAGTACATGTCTATAATATTGTACACTTCACATTTGGCTAGCCTGACTTTTGAATCTTTTACCCATCTTATATATTTTTTATACTTAAAAAATTTATAGGGCCGGGTGTGGTGGTGCACGCCTATAATCCCAGCACTCAGGAGGCTGAGGCAGGAGGAGCTCTGTGAGCTCAAGACCAGTCTGGACTACATAGTGAGTTCCAGGTCAATCTCAACTACATAGTGACACCCTGTCTCAAAAAAACCAAAACCAAAACCAAAATTTATTACTATGTGTTTGCAGTACATAATGGTTATATTTATCACAAGGAGTACATCTTAATTTTTTTTTTTTTTTTTTTTTTTTTTTTTCTTTTTTGGTACCAGGGGTCAAACTCAGGTCCTTGCACTTGCAAGACAGGTGACAGAACAGAACCTCTGAGCTAAATCACAGGCCCTAACACATCTTTTTTTTTTTAATAATGGAGTTTATTGGTACTTTTAAAGTATACAGTACAGTTACATTCATCATTGGGATCTTGTACCTTTACATGACAGATCTTGGTTCTCAATTTTTCCCTATACCCCTGCCCTCCCTTCACGTACTACACCCTCCCCTTTTTACAAAGACTTTGTTTCCATTTTTTCCTTTTCTCATATTTTTTCTTTTCCCTTATTACCTTTTCCCTACCCTTCCCACTTCCCCTACACCTTTAGCCCTTTTCTTCCTATTTCACATTGTCAGTTATAGTATTTGTATACAGTCACATAATTTACAGTTTTAGTTTTTTATTTCTTCTTCTTCTTCTCTTTTAAATTCAGTGCCTTTTAAGCTGCAAGAAGGAGAGGTCCGCGTTATTTCTCTGGAACAGTGCCAGTCCTACTTTGACATGAAGACCATCACCACCCGGATGATTTGTGCTGGCTACGAGTCTGGCACTGTTGACTCATGCATGGTAAATTGCTTTTTGGTTACCCACAAGATTCGTTCGGTGCAGTGATAATATCAGTGGGCCCATGGAAACTCATTATTACCCATGGATAGCCCTTAGGAACATCTTTGAAAGTTGTCACCAAATGTTTAGTTATTTACACTGTATCTTGCTTCAGCCAATACCTAAGCAATCCCTCGTTAAGTATGCATTCTGTCTGCTTCACTCAGATTGCCTTCAGCCTTCTCATCTCTCAGTGGGAAACAACACCCTTCATTAGCAACAAGAGGAAAAACAATTTTCCGGTCCAGCATATTTGAGCATTTTAGTGGCTAAGACAAACAAGATGGTAAGAGGAGCAAATGTTATCTGTAGCTCCAATCTGGCTGCCTTAGGGAACAGGGCAGCCATCAGAGGACATTGCCAGCGTTTAGGGAGATGACATCAGGGAAAACACTAATGTCTCAATTTCCAGGGTGTGGGACAGGACTGGCGGTGTCTCGGGATGACCAAAGTGGTATCTCTAGGCCTTCCAGCCCTCATGTTATTTCCAGCATGTCCTCAAATGGCACTGACTCTGACCTTCCTAGAAATTGCTGGCCACAGCAGTCTGCAGAGCAAGCCAACCTAGCACTGCAGGGAAGCATTTTTTATTTTTACTTAGACATTCATTGTCTGTTATACTTGGCTGGCTTACAAGGAAGCTTGGACAAGTTCAAAGAGCTCAAAGAAGTTGTAACAAAGTAGAGAAGGTCGGCGGCCAGCTACACTGCTGCAGAGCACCTTCATTATTTTGCTGCTTTGGCCTACATCAGGTTGCTCTCCACACTTTTCTATCAAAGAAAAGATACAACAATACTTTCGTCACTAATTTAGTGTAATGAAATGGCATTTGTGATGGTTCATTTTAACAGGAAATTAGAAGATTTTTAGTGGTGATTCCTTAGATAGTTGTCATAGATGCAGGGAAGCAGATGATTCCCTAGTAAATACTTCAAGGCTAACTTCCTCTCTGCCACATGGCCATGAGTCATTCCATTGGCAGTAGCTACAAAGTCCCTTCCTTCTGTACAAGAGGTGCAGCTAAAGAATGATTTTTATTTTTGGAATACTAGATATCAAACCCAGAGCCTCGTGCATGCCAGGCAAGCACTGTACGTGATATGGGGGTTGGCACACAAGATTTGCAGCTTAAAATATTTAGGTTGAATCCCATCTCTCCTGTTAAGAACAGTGCACTCTGAGGGCATTCTCTAGCCTTTTCAGGCAGTGTTTCTTCAGGGTAAATTGTAGGTATTTTGAGGATTTACTCAGTTAATATTAAGTGAAAACTCCTGTAATATATCTAAATGTAATGCCTCTCAAATATTTAGATTCTCAGTAACTAGTAATTACATTAATAGTAAATCTATTAGTTTAGTGTTTATCCTGAATAACTCATTTAATTGACACAATCTTCCTGTCCCATGCAGAAGTATCATCATTTTCCCTAAACAAATTAAGAAAAAAAAAAAAGAGAGAGAGACCAGAGAGGTTAAATAGTTTACCCTAGATCACCCAGCACGAAGACGGTAAAGGGAGGCTATGAACCCAGGCAGGCTCACTTCGGGACCCAAGTGCTCACCGACAGTGATATCTTAGCAACAATGACTAATGCAAATACATTTCTCTTTTGCCCCAACATGATTCTGAGGTCTACCAAGAACTAGCACCTGTGGCCTATGCTTGAGGTCATCCAGTGATTACTCCTAAAAAGGGGAAGGGGAGTTTTTCTTTGAGACAGAATTGAAGGCCCAAGCACAGACCCAGGCACAGGCATGTTTATATCAAGATGCATAATGGGAACTAGGGCCTACCAACCTCTAGTAGGGGAATTTAGGGTTGTGGGTCTCTCAAATATGTACCAGATCTTCTGTACCACAACCCCAAGTAGAAAACAAATAAAACAAAACAAAAAATACTTTTTACTAGACGTGGAACAAAACCCCTACTAAAGAACATACTTCATCTATCTTAACTGCATCAGTAGAGCACATAAGAAAGCCTGGGTCCCTCTCTGAGGGTCTATGAATCATATGGATCAATGGCGAAGCCAAACTTGAACTTTCATCTGAAATTGAGCCTTTTTTCTTGGTGCATGCCACTACACGATGATCACATTCGTCGTGGGGAGTTGATATATGTACATAGCATGTCTTTGGTGTTTTTACATATTTTTAGTAAGTGTTTGGGACACATAACGATTACATTCTCTGTGGGTAGTTGTTACACGTACATGACACATCTTAATTCTTTTTATGCCCCCTTCTCTTCCTCTTTTCTCCCTCCCTGTATCTCTTCCAGTTACAAAAAGATCTATCTCCATCTCCAACTATCTTCTATTTTCCTTAACCCCTTTCCATTTGCCAAAGATCAAGCTCCTGGTTTCCTATTGTCTTTTATTTTGCTCTTTAAATTATTTATACTTTGGACGTCTTATATAAGAGAAGTCTTATGATACTGAAGCTTGTGTTTTGGATTTATTTTACTTCACAGTATGGTCTCACTGTGCATCCGTTCTCCTACAAAGAGTAATATAATTTTATGAGGAGGAAAGGGGCAGCAGAAGACAGATGACACCAGTGAGGTCTTTATCTGTGTTCTCCTTTCAGTTTGATTTGATCACTCTTTTAAAATATTTTTTATCAGTACATGTTTGCAGGACATAATTACATTTGTTGTGTGGAGTTGGCACATGTACGCAACACATCTTAATTCTTTTTGTCCCCATCTCCTCCCATCAAGGGATAGATAATACGAAGAAGGGAGATCTTTTTCAAATGGGAAGAGGAATAAGAGGATGGAACGTGGGTGGAGGGAAAAGGATTTGTAAAACGAGAAAAAGAAGAGTGGAAATAATAGAGTTTATTTTTTTTTTTAAAGTGGGAAGAGGGTGAAGAGTTGAACTACTGACTTCTGACCTCCTTTTTTCCTCACCTTGGTGTGTGACTCATTGTCTCATTCAAAACCCACGTTATTTTGGTCCGCTCCATTGGAAGTGACCGCATATTCCTCTGAAATCTCTCTGTGGTTCTTACATTATGATTTCCTATGAAGTTATGTTTGTTACCCCCAAAAGATTTTTGGCTGGCTCTTGAACAAAAATTGTGCATTCCACATCTTTGTAGAGTCTAGTACAGAACTTTGCACAGAGTAAATGCTAAGTAATTCTAATTTCTGATCTGGACAGGAAGAGATGCTGACATCTAAAATGTATCTCATTTTAATTGTGCTCTTGTAGCTTAAACTACAAAAATGAGCATCCTCTCTACATAAGGGGAGAGGAAAAATGTTTTTATGAAATATGTTAAATTAAAAATTTTTCCAGGAAAATTGATGTATTGCCAACATACACAATAAAAATGCAAAAAAAGAAAAAAAAAAGACAGATGATCCATTGCAATAATACTATACACACTGACAGAAAATTATCCCCACAGGGAGACCAGTGTCCAAATGGAGTATGCATTCCTAGCAGCAATTTTTTCTCCTACCCCGAATTTTTCTTTTTAAATGCAGTAATAATCAGAAGCAGGTCACTGTTGGTTTTTCCAATTTCCCTTGCTTCCTTATTCCTCCCTCTACAGGGCTTCCTGGCCAGTAGGTGGATTCTGTAAAAGTATATTTTACTATGTAGGCAGGGAAGCAGGAGTGATCGTCCCAGGCTGCACAGAGCAGTGGTGTCAGGAAGTCACTGTGCTGTCAGGCAGTGCTTATGCTGCTGTTGAGTAAGAAGGCCCATTGCAGTCAATGTAGAGCAGTTCTCCCTCCTCCATATTCATGTGGGTTTTGTTATCCATAGTCATGTATGGTCCAAAAGTATCAAATGAAAAATTTCAGAAATAATTCATAAGTAAGTAAATCAATTCAGGCTTGCAGGCAGAAAGTGTTGTTTTTCAGCCCCTTATGAAGTCAGTGCTTACTATATAGGCTGAGGGCATTGCACAGTTAAGCATGTGAAGGTGACCACTTCTATAAAAGCATGCAGCTTAATCAAATGTTCAATTTCATTTTCATAGCAATCATATTCATTAAACTTCCCAAGAAGGGTAGCCTGGTAGTCGTGGAGAAGATGTCTTGTTGTCAGAAAGCCTGGGTCCAAATCCTGCCTTTGCCAGTGACAAAGTTCTTTAACTTGTGCTTCAGTTGCATTATCACTAAAATGAACATAATAATAATAATAAATATCAATTTGTAGATATTTTGTGAAGAATAAATGAGTTAATACGTGGAAAGTACCAGTAAGCATTATTCCTGTTACTTTCCAATGTTACCAGGTAGGAAAACTATAGATATCACAGGGACAGAATCTTCCATTTTGGGTATTTTCTATAATGATGGGAGGAGTAGGGAGGGAGGAGACAGATGGGATGAAAAACCAAACAACAACAACAACAACAACAAAAAACAAAAGCAAGAAAGAAAAGAGTTAAGATGTGTTATGTACATGTACCAACTCCCCACAATAATTATAATCATTATGTACTTCAAACATGTGCTAATAAAAAACAATAAAAAAGACAAAAGAAACTTGAGGATGAGCTTGATTATGAGGTAATCAGTGCTGACACATAAGATTTTATTAAAATTTGTGACATACTTTGGTAAGTAGGAAATGACTTAAAATGTCTTCTGATTTCCTAGAAAGAATAAAATCTCTTCCCAAGCCACCCTCGCTGTTTCAAAGATCAGAATTTATAATGTTCATTAGAAAGTGCCATTTAGACAAAGGAAAGCACAGTATCTCCACAGACTGACAAGAAAAAATTTTTTGAAGGTTTCCAAGAGATTGGTTAATCTGGTTTGGCTTTCTTTTACCCTTTGGATCACACGGTGCCACAGGGCTCTGAAATCACAGTGACTAATGCCTGTTGCTATTCATCACAGGGTGACAGTGGTGGACCGCTTGTTTGCGAGCAGCCTGGAGGACAGTGGACCTTGTTTGGTTTAACTTCATGGGGCTCCATCTGCTTTTCCAAAGTTTTGGGTCCTGGAGTGTATAGCAACGTGTCATACTTCATTGGATGGATTGAGAAGCAAATGTATATCCAGAGCTTCCTCCTACGTAAGCCTGAGGGTGATCCGAGCCCTTTGCCAGCAACACACAGAGAGGAAGGCCGTGCCTGAGAAGGGCTGCCCGCGGAGGGCTGGACAGAGCTACTTTGCACGGACAAGGAGCTCCATGCGCACTGATATTTTGTTTGTTTTAGACCAATTTTATTAGACTTCTTTTCCCGACTTTTGCCCTAATTTAAAATTTGATGAAAAGCTTAAAAAAAAAAAAAAAAAAAA